ATCCGTTTCTTTGGCTTCGCTGTCGCCTTAATTCGTTTAATTGTTCCTGTATCTGCCTGATCATTTGATCTATATTTCTATTCGTGTGGTCCGCGCGTTTCTGTTCGGAATTATTTATTGTTCTTATTATAGGTCGGGATTTTCCCATTATTTGGTCAATCGTCTCCTCGCTGATCGCTATCTTAACTGCTTTATCGAAGGTGTCTGGTTCCTTCGATAGCACCTACCGTTTTATCCTATCGTTTAGACCGCTCATAAATTGGGCAAGCAATCGCTCGTCTTTCTCTTTCGCTTGACACCGTTTGATAATCTCTGTTTCGCGTGCATCGACTCCAGTTTGTTCTATTATTGTTTCCGAGGCGAGTGTTTGTAGTCGAACGGCATACGTTTGCACGTCCTCGTCGCGCTCTTGCACACAAGCGTGAAATTTCTGTACCCTTAAGGAATATGGCTCTTTCTCAAAGCGCTTAATCATTTGTTTCTTAAACTCCTCATAAGTATCGATCTCTTTCATGCGCATATCTTTCCATGCAAAGTCCCTAGCAATGCCGGACAATTTCAGTTTCGCTACTCCCAAGCATTGAGATTTTGTCCAGTTAGTTAATTTAGCGATTTCATCAAGGGAATCAAAGAAGTCTCCTATCCTTAATCCTGTTGTATCTCCCGAAAACGTAGGAATCAAAGGAATCATTCCGGATAGACCCCCTGCTGCAAGCGTACTTCCTCCTGCCTCTCCGCGCTGACGCCCTTGGGGATTTGCGTCACCTCTTGCCTCCATGTATCCCAAATTTTGCTCGAATCTCCCCTAAAATCAATCCCGCTCTGACACCACTGTGACCGCAGGGTCGGCACCTCTTTGGCGCCCTGTCAGGATGACACCACTGTGTCTTGTAGTAGACACAGAAAAATTTTATTGGCCGTTTATTTGGTTACGCGAACGGTCGCGTTATGGACTTCTAGTTCCGGGATGGAGGCGTACCGAGAGAACCAGAGGAATTACACTTTAACTCATCTAGACGTAATACCCGTTTATTGTTCATACTATATACAATCGCAATAGCTATATATAATTGGGTTAATTAACATATCTAAGTTTTTTCGGTTACCCGTATTCCTGAGAGAGAGAGCTCACATATATTTCGCGCGAGGATAAATACCTTGGTTTGAATCGTTGATTAGTCTTGGGTTGAATCGTTGATTTGTCTTCACAAAGTTCTTTCGAACGTTGATACGTTTTTCAAGTAGCACAAAGTTCTTCCTAACGTTGTCGGGCGTAGTCCTTTCGAACAGCGGCGATTAGATGAGTTCCTGGTAGCGACTTATCCGTTTTTGTAAAAAACACAGTGCGCACAAATTTCCAGAGACTGACTCTTACGTATCGACCCCTCCTTTTTATAAAGGGGGTCTCGTTGGGTTTTTTCCACTGCCTTATTAGGACTGTTCTTTTTTCTTTGACCAATAGTCTTTTTCGAGATTTCGGGTGACACATTCGATGTATCATGCTTGACAAGGAACTAAGTTCGTGGGAAAAGATTTTTATGTCTTTTTTTTATGGCAATTTGAAGTTAAATTTTTTTGTCTTTTCCTCCCTTAACAAAAATTTTATTTAACGAATTTATTCACTAAACTCGACTCTCACATTATCCCGGCCTTTCCAAAATCGTGCTTGTTCCCAAAAGAGCAAGTTCGATTTTCACTTTGTTGTATGTCTTCAATTACAATGGGAAAATTTCTCTCTCTCCCTGACAAATTATAGTAACATTAACAAAATGTCGTCATTAAATTTTACAAAAATCGCTCTACTTCCGACATCAACATTATCAATATAATCAACAACTTCCGACAATTTTTTTTTGAATTGCAACGTAGTACAATTGCTTCTCATTCATCTTTTATTTCGACAATTATTTTTCATTCATATTTTTCCGACTATAAATGTTTCTTTTTCGATACTTTCGTACAACCAATTAAAATTTACGATTTACTCTCTCTCATCTTTTGTTTTGTTTTTCGCGGAAGTTCTACGATACGCGTTGTATTTCCTATCTATTAATAGATTTCGATTATCCCCTTTTTGATCAGTTCACCATTTTTTTCGCTTCCTAGTGAGCTGTTGTACTCCCTAATTAATTCTGCTAATGGTCGCGATCAATTTTTTTTTCTGATTTGGTTTCAGTCGGACTTTATTTTTGTGTGTGGGAGAAGAATTTCTTACGGGTATGCGTCTTCGCGGCGGATGTAGCATTGTAGTCAGCATTGTGTCTAGCGTTCTTTGACTTTGTGGCGAGGTTGAATGTTTCGGAAAATTGACTACAGGCAACAATGGAATGCCTAAAATTGTAAGCATCATAGTGAAAAGGATCATTATAGCTTTGAGCAATAAATTCAGGCCTACTGGTTGATTGCTACTTTCGGATTCCGGGTGCTTTTCTTGTTTCTTAGTTGCTTCCGGTTGACTTTGATTGTTCTTGTTTTTTGCTGCTACTTGGGTGGATATAGGAGTTGGTTCCGGTGTGTAATGTCTCTTTGTTTCTAACTTTTTTCCCTTTCTCGTCGGGGGAACTGAGATTGGTTCGTTACCCTTTTCTTCTGAGGATCGTATCGTTTTCTTCACCCTTTTTTTCATCTTTTTAGGAATGTGACTTTTATTAGGTTCTAGTGGTTCTTGATGTCTATCTTTAATTTTCTCTCCTTCTATTACGTTTTCATAGGATCGGACGACTCGAACAACAGCTTTTCTGTTAGTGGTGGTCCTTTTTGCTCGTATCCGGTTTGATTTCTCACTTGGCTCGTAGGGCTCCTGGAAGCTTATTCCTCTTCCATCGGGAAGTATTATTGTTTCGTCCGCCATATGTATACCTAACTTTAAGTCTGTAATTATATCTCTTCCTATTAAGCCGTCGAATGGATACGTGATTCGATCATCGACGATGTAGCATGTGTAATCAAATTGTAGAGGGCCGATTTTGAATCGGAATTCACTTCTTCCGTGTGGATAAATTTTGTGTCCGGTAACGCTCCGGAACGGAATATCTTTTCTATCATAGTCTCTGTGAAGGTTGCCTAATTTCTGAACTAGGGACCTTGACAATAGTGTTACTTCCGAGCTTGTGTCTACAGCTAATTGCGTCTTTGCATCATTGATTTGACAATGTAGTGTCGGCTCTTCATCTAGCTTTCTATCCTTCGGATAAGTTCTTGTTTCATGGAATCTCGAGATTTTGATCTCGTGTGGCTTTTGTCTCTCCCATCTATAATTTTCCTTATTTTCTCGCCAGTTCCGGTTGTTCCTTCTCTCATACCGCTGTATCTGATGTTGAGGTTGATTTGTTCGAGGTCGCCACTCTGTGTCCTTGAACCACCTGTTCTGTTTCTTGTTTGTTTTTGAACTTTAGTTCTTTGAGTTCGCACGCCGCACAGTGGGACCGAATCCCAAAAAGCTGGCCAAAAGTCGAAAAATAGAGTTTAAATTCCGGTAATTTCTAGTCGTGGGTTCGGTTAGATAAGAGTCCGAAGGTAAAATTCTAGACTTTAGCGCCCCCTATCCCTTATACCTGCTATTGTAGTTCAGTTGAAAGGGGACCCTGAATCGCGCTAGACGTGTCATGCAGTAAGCAAAGATTTCTACGCTATATTCAAGAGGGTGCCAAATCTCTAAAAATCAATCGAATTTAAATTTAAAAAATGGAATTTGCAGCTGCAAGTAAGTAGAATATTATTATGTAACACAAAATTGATAATAATACTTTATGTGATAACAGTAAACGAATGATTTGTAGGAAAATGAACGGAAGATTACAACAGGAAATTTTAAACACGTAGAGAAAAGTTTACAAATTCTGTAGAGTTCTGCGACTGGACCGATCGCATGTTGTAGATCGAACTATTATTGAATGAAAAAATTAAAACTAGCTGCAACTAGCTGCAACTGTGTCATTGGTGAGTGTTGTTGCTATGTAAAACATAGTTTTTTGAATTTTGTACATTAATGACGTGGAATGTTTTGCTCTTTTTCTTGNAATTTTTTTTGTCTTTTCCTCCCTTAACAAAAATTTTATTTAACGAATTTATTCACTAAACTCGACTCTCACATTTTATTACTCTTGGACATTTCATTTACAATTGAATATGCAATGAGAGAGACTAATCATTTCTATGTATAAAATTTGTCTATATATTTTATATATTCCCAAAATTTGTAAAACAAAAACACCAACTTGAATGATTTAATATTTCAAAACAAGTTTCAAAATTTCTGAATGATGATGATGCAACTTTAACATAAAATCAATGATAATGCTGGATAAATACAGGGTGATTCAAAATTCACAGAAATTTTAAAAAATTAATAACAAACTATTTACAGTAAGACCATGTGGTTTTCACAGAAATGCTTAGAAAAAAACAGGATTTTTTTAGGTTTAATAAAAATTTTAGTACCAAAATAGTTAATTCTTGCCATAGATAGCATTGTAAAATCTGAAATCATTTATAAATTAGTTAAAGTAAGAATAAAATGATAAAAATGTTCTAGCTCTAGTAACTTCACAAATTATGTAATCTTATCAAGTGCCATTTATGGCAAGAAATGTAACTACTGGTATTTTGATACTAAAATTTTTTTACACAAAAAAAATCCAGTTTCCTTCTAAGCATTTCTGTGAAAACTGCATCTTACTGTAAATAGTTTGTCGGTTATTATTTTTTAAAAATTTATGTGACTTGAATCACCCTGTATTTTTGTTCAAAATTCAAATGACTATGTCAAACAAACAGAATTTTAAATTATCTTCTATATTATTAAGTTAATAAAATTTTAAAAGTTATTTAAACATACATTTTATTAATATCACATTATTTACATGCAGAAATTTAGTTTGTTTATTGCTGTTTTGATTCAAATTATTTCAAATCAGTACAAGCTTGGAATTATTGAAAGAGAATCAACCTTCCTATCATTTTATATTGTATTTTTATTTCATAAAATAATAACAAACACATTTTTTTAGCATTAACAACAATTATTTATTTACATTTACAATCACACTTGACCATCAGATCCTAATGAAATTACTTAAAAACAAATCTGTAATATTATGACATGAAATATACAAGTAGCAAGCTATTTGAAAGATTGGTCATGTAACAAGCTGAATCCAGCACAACAGAAGGAAATGGATTCTGTTGTATGAATTATGTATGTAGTCATGTAACACATTTTGTAACAAAAATATGGTCCACCATCAAAAATACAGGACTAACAATTATAAAAAATTAAACAGTTACATGCTGGAAACTTATAAATGCAATTGCTACGAAAATACCATGGTTTGATATTATTTGGACCTGGGATAATCAATATTCTTTTACAAAAATGGTAGAAAAAAAACTATATATTTTTTTCTTCTTTAGAAAGCTACTTTGCCTCTTCAATGTAATGTATATCAGAATAGACCTGCTATATATATATTTTTATATATATTTATATGTATGTGTTTGTGTGTGTATGGGTGTATATGTGTGTATGTATGGGTGTGTTTGTATGTGTATGTGTGTATTTTATCTCAGCAATGATTTCTGTATGAAAGTCAATTGGCATTATGTATTAAATCTAAATTTATCAATTTTCTGCAAAAAACTTAAGTACTCTGTATTTCGCTTTCTCTCAGATATCTTTTTTAATATCACTGTATCCTTTACGGAAATGAAACTGAAGAATCTGTCAGACATATTATACCTTTACCAAATATATAACTTTGGTAACTGAAATAATAAAAAGATATTTAAGATTTAAACAAAATAAATGAAAGAATGTGGTTTGCTTTATCTCTTATAACATATAAACTGTACATATTTAAACAATAAATTCACCCAAATAATAAATTAATAAAAAAATTCAAACTATTACAAAATAATTCATCATACAAAAATCACAATATAAATGCTTAACCTCATGAAATTCCAAAAATTCTGTTCAAATAATTTATCTCACATACAGTTTCATCACTGATAAATGACAATATTTTCCAACGTCAGAAACACATCACAGATGTCAATTAGCATTCACATTTACTTATACCACTGATTTTATCAGAAAACAGGTAAAGAGTAACTTCCATTATCTTTGGTAGTCTCAGGCTCAGAAGTTTGCAGTTGTTCCATTAATGTAGTTGCCATTGCAATATCTGGAATGACTTCATTTAACTGATGATCTATACAACAACTTGCTGAAGAAATCTGAAAAATGAATAATATTGATAAGAATTGACATAAATATTTAACATTGGGAAAATATCTCTATTTAAAATAACAGCTAGCTTCATTATTTCTGTTTCATTCATTAGAGAAACATAAGAATTACTTTAAAATATCTAATTTACAAGGTAGTGTAATTTATAGATAAAAATCAGTAAAGTTTATTCATTATGTATAAACTTATTAAAAATGTTTTACATTATAAATGAAAAAATATTTAGTGTTAAATGAACTAAACTGTTCTTAAAACTGTTTAGAAACTTTAGGGGTAGTTTAGTTCACTTAATAGAACTAAACAGAATTTGAATAATTTTGATGTGGAAGTTATACAAAACACAAAATAAAGTAAGTATTTTTTTGAGTAGAATCAATATGTATAAAAGAAAATCTTTAAAACTTTGTCATGATTGCAAATTCTCAACATATTTGATTTTTTAAACATTTTTGTTCATTGATTCTGAAGTCAAATCACTAAGCCTGAGTTTGAAATAGCAATTATATTATTGATTATTATTTATATTTCTATTAGTAAAATGCATTTCCTGTACTTTCAATTACTCTNTTAGTTTTTTTTTACATCTTTTATTACAGCCCACAAATAATTCTGCAAAGTATGAAACTTAAAAGCGAATTAAATAATTTTACATTACATGCCTACATTAACAAATACAATATTTTCGAAACGTTGAAGTTGATAAAGCACGTAGCAAGAATGACATCACTCATGAAAAGATATGCTAGCTACGATACTAAGAAAATTTATTGGTTTCACTTATGGAATATATATGGTATATATGTATGGAATTCACCTATTTTATGTTAATTTTCTTTTAATTCTTCCTATAAGCTAAGTGAAGAAAAAACTAAATTATTTTAAAATTTCAATTTTATTATATATAATTACAATTTACTGTGTATATATATATATATATATATACAGTAAATTGTATTTTAAAACAAGTCAACAAGGAAAATATTTAAAAGAAATACGAAAAACAAGGATATGATGAATATAAGAAATGAAAACAAGAAATATTTTAAAAAATTTTTTCGCCCTGTGGGCACTTAGTGGGCCTTTTTTAACAAGCCAATTAAATCCTGAGTGCGCATCATCTTTATCGTGTTTTCCACAATAAAATATATACATAGGAAAGAAAAATTTTCTTTTAATCTACGTGTTTCCTTGTCTCGGTATAATAAGTCTGATATTAAAAACTGCAGTCTCAGAACCATAATACATATAATACTGAATAATCAGATAAGAATCAATTCCCAAAGATTTTTAGTAAAGATTAAAACTAGTAAAAATACTGTACAGCACATATGAATTTTTTAATAGTCAATTCCATCCGTACAAACTATTGAAAAATTAAATTAGCGTTAACTTAATTTAACTTTGTTTATACAGTACATCAGAACCGAAATACAATTTAATTACAAAGAAAGGGCGAGAAAAATACTATCCTGATTTGGGCTATAAGTAAATTAATTCCTTAAAGTCAATTTTTTTCTAAACCATAAGTCTATCAATAACAAGAATCGCCGATTACAATTTTATTAATAAATAATGATGATTTGGCATGATGATAATTTATATTATCGCATTTTCGCATTTAATTTTTCTCAATCTTTCACGAAATTCAGAAAATATCATTTGTATTTGTTTAAGACTTTTTATTTTTAGTATTGAAAAATATTTAATTTATTTGTAATTTTAGAAAATCCATTAATTAAGAAATTTCTGGCTTTTGATAAATGTAGGATGTTGTGTGATAAGGTAAATTTGTTTTATTATTTATTTTTTGCCTTGGTAACTAAAATTTAATATACCAAATATTGTTTCTACCAGTATTTAATAGCAATGGTTTTTATATATTTTAAACGGGCAATGTTAGATGTCGAAGAATATTCCGAAAAAAATTTTTTTGCCGCTTTGTAAGTAAATTTTATTAATGTTTTTGCATACATCAATTCTATTTATTTAAATTTTAAAAATTAATTATTTTGTATAGATATTTAGCGCATGATATGGAAGAAGATAATGAATATCTAAAATTAAAAATATTAGCTTGGCTCTTAAGTCAAAATACAATACAAACATTATCAGAGTTTTTTAAGAGACGAGATAATTTATGGAAATTAATGAAGTATAGATGTCTAGTTAGCAGGAAGAGTTGTGAAGAAGTAAAATTAAATTATTATATAATTTTGTAGTATTAATAATTTCTAGTTATATACATACATGTATTTTATTTATTAAATTAGATTATGAAAATATTTCCAATTCACAGTATTTGGGAACGTCAAAGATGTGAAAGTCACGCTGGTGCGTTTAGACAATATTGAAGACATTTAGAGGATATTTCGAAATCTTTAAATTAGTAAAATACAGTACAAATAAACCTTAAAATAATTTTTGCCCATAAAATAAATATAAAAATATTTTAAAAATTGTAAATGATATCAATTATTTTAAAATTTATCATAATTTATTTATATTTTTATGAAAAATTAATATCTATTTAACTGGTGTTTAATTGTTTTTAATGTAATGTTAACAATATATTTTTCATTTATTATGAATAAATTTTTTAAAAATTAATCTTTCTGAATAAAATATTGAAAACATTAATTTTAAAATTATTGTATTTAGAAGACAAAATTTATTATCTATCAAAATTTTGTTTTCTTCGTTGTTTATTAGCACTTTATGAATTTTTTTAACTCTTTCTTTCTGTGGGCAATGAGGCTTGATGAAAAGCCTCATTGCCCATTGGTTTCGAGGAGGAGCAGATGGTGAGGAATAGGGCCCGACATATCCGGGAAGAACCGCCCATAAAGAACTTTCTGAGGCCTGCCTGGATTCGATTCTGGGTCCACCAGAGTGGCAGGCTAACACTTAGGACCTTGGGCTAACACCGCTCGGCCATCCGGCCTTAATAATTTAATTAAAACTAAATTCTATTTTAATCTTAAAACTGTAAAACAATTGCTAATTATACGAAGTAAAAGTTTACTTATCATTGTCTCATTTAGTACTATGAGACAAAATATGAAGCAACGAAACTTTCAAAATTTCTGTTCTGAAAACTGAAATTTCAAAATTTTCAAAACTATTTCAGATTTGATAAAAGTATAGACAAATATAATGATAATAATCATTATTTCTAGTTGAATTTGTGGACATTTCAATTTTTTATACGACTTTTATAAAATATAATACAATCTATATTTTAGAATTAATTCAATATTAATCGAAAGCTGAATTTGAACTATTGCCAGTATCCAGAGAAAGATATTAATATATCCCGAACGACGGGCGAATGGCTGGATGGTTAAACTATCAGCCTACGGTTCTGGGGACTCTGGAAACGAATATTGACGGGGTCGAAAAATTCCTGGGGTTTTTCGAAGAGTGGTCAGTTCCTGTGATATGTTGGGTCCTCTCCTTCATCCCCAGCGTGGGCCTACCTGAACCTACCATAGGTTTGGAAAAAGCCCTCTTAGTGCTCTTAGGATGGAATGATTTAAAAAGGAACGTCAAGTCTATGTAGACTTCATTTTTCTCGTCTGAAAATATAATTTTCGTCCAACTATTTTTAAAGATGCTTTTCCTTATCGTAATCTCTTCTAATAGATTTGAGATCCATTGAGTTAAAGCTTTCTTATTTTATTGCATTCAGCAGATTTCTTCAAACTTAAACTTTAAACAACAGGGAAAACAGTGGAAAAACTATCGTTAACCTAGACATTTGCCTGCTAATCTTTATACCGTTACTTTTCTTTGGTAGTGGCATAATTTTTAAAAATAAGGGAAGCATTTAAAAATTCTAATCGACTAATATTTGAATACAAGCTGGTGACATACATATGATGTCTGATGGAAATCCAATGGAAGTAGAAATATACCATTTTACTTGATAAAAGTACTATATCTAATGTGTTTATTTATGCAAAACAAAAAGCAAAATTAAATTTTTTAGTTGCATCACTATATCAAATACGTCTTTTGAATGTCCAGTCGTTTTTGTTACCTGATTAAATATCTTTCATTACAATATATATCGATTATCTTTATTCTCTACTAACAAAAATTATAATAAATATTTTTGATAAACGAATTAGCGATATTATTCTGCTGCAGCGATGTCGTGCTATCCGAATCTAGTAATCTTAATATTACAGATTTATTTGAAGTGGATTTGTGAAAAAAGTCGCGCCACAAAGTGGAAAATAGGGAAAGAATTCGTTTACGGCATGTTTTTTATTGGCATTGTATCTTCGTAGTTTAGTGACTTATCACAAAATTTCATTGCAATCGTACCATCTTATTTTTAACAGTTTATGACAATAGTTTCTTATCTTGTTTGTTTTCATTGCCATCTTTACAGAGTAATACTTTAATATAAAATATACTGTAAATATCTTGTCTACTTAGTGAGCAGTCATGCCAGGGCAGTGCCCTGGTATATTTTTAAACAGGGCAAAGACCTCAAGACTGTATACCTCTGCAAAAAAAAAACAAAAAAAAAAAAAAAAAATTCAGTAG